TGATAATGCTGCTTTTCTACTTTAAAATGGGTTGGCGTAATTTTATAATTTTTTGTAAGCTCATGGATTTGGATGATAAGTTAATTGACATTCAAGCTATTCGATTTAATTCGACAAGTGAGAGGCATTGTCTGACAATTAACAATTGCACTTTTAGATAAGTAAAAGCGATAAGTAAAGACAAACAAAGCAATGACATTCAACAAATTCAAACGAAGGCGCACGCAACGAATTGGAAGAGCAAATAACGAAGCGATTGTTGATGCCACGCGACGGGCATTCACCCGCCGCCTCCGCCACCATCGAAAGCTTATATCATTCGATACGCGCTCTTGTCGTCGGGGTGGCCATTAATATTACATGAGGGAGGGTTCGCGGCCGATGATCGTCGACGCGCGCGCGCGCTTTTGCCCGATCATGACTACCACCCCCTATTGGATAGTGAAATCAAAAGCTCTCGAGTTTACAACGATATATGTACAGAGAGAAAGAGAGAGCCGTCGAAAACAATTTTCGTCCCGAGCATACTTGTCCAGCTATTTCAATTCGAGTGGTAAAAGAGTGAAAATCAGTCGAGATATTTTATGCAGCGAGTTATGATTTCCGGATAATGCGATATATTTTCGGATAAGCATGAAAACTGAAATTTCGGCTTCAATTTCACACAGTTTGATAGGCACATACACTCGCATCACACACAGTCATTTCCTTCTCAACATATACCTGGCAATTTTCATTTTTGAATATTGAAAGATAAAAAAAATGTTCAATTACAATCTATTCAGTCCCCGATCATTATACACCCCAAGCATATAACGCAGTTGAATTAAGTTTCGTTAACTTTATTTCCAACAATTCGCGAAGATAAAAACAACGTAATATGCGCATTTATTTTAGCGAAAAAGATCAAAAATGAAACAGGGGCTGCGCCCCCTTATACACAGCAAATTGTTTTTTCTCCTTTCCATTCAAGATTCTCTCTCTCTCTCTCTCTCTCTCTCTCTCTCTCTCTCTCTCTCGGATATACATTCGCGTCCCATAAATATGAGAAATAAATTGAATTATCTGCGGCGCTGGATAATAATAGGTTGAATCGCGCTTGAAACTCCCCCCCCCCTCCCTTTTCCTCGTCAGAACCCTGCGCTTTCTCCTTTTGTCTTACTGTTAATGCACCATTATAAAAATGCCAATTTTGTTCATTGAAGTCATTTATTTCATGCTATTTTTTGGTTCTTTTTAATCGACTAGAATATTCTTTTAAGATGTAAGCGCACTGAAATGTATAGTTTTACAAACTTATGACTTACTAGAATAATATAGTTATCTACACTCGTGTGAAACATAGAAATAAAACGGAATAATTAGTAAACCAAAGCAAGTAAAAAATGATTCATAATTCTGAGCTGTAACTCCAAACGTAATAGGTGTAATGAAATAGAAAGTCGAGAGAAATCTTCCAATACACCGCGAAAAATAATGAAGAAGGTAATCGTAGATAAGGTGGGAGGGCGATATTAACCTTTGTTTTGTATTTTCAAAAATTGCCGCCCAATCAGCAGTCACGTAGTAATTAAGGGTCTCGCGAAAGCGAGTTCGAAGGGTGATACGCTTCCCTTTCAAGAGCGCGACGGCAATGGCGCCTGAATTTAATTGGTCCAGGCGCGCTCACGCGTTTCTCGTTCATTCGCGCGCTCTTCTAATTAACTCCTTTTTTTGCTTTAGATTAATCGTATACACGTAGCTAAATCGATTTCGGTCTTGTAAAAGTTCTCATCAGCTGCGGTGCGTGCGTTATATACTTATAATTACGCGGTGGTCATTCTGGGTCATCCCCATATACTTCATTAAATGTGGCGAAGAATAAAAACTTTGTTATTGACAGTGACAAGTGTAATCTTGGATAAAAGTAATTAAGGCTCTATACGATACACGTATATTAACTCGAACTGATGTACATTTATGTATTTAAATTTATCGAGTTAACAATGCCGTTCACCATTTTGTTCGCAAACGAATGTACAAAGTGAAAAAAGAAAGAAACGGAATAAGAGATACGCTGAGGTTTGATAATATGGCGTTGGTAAGTACTTGCGAATATATATATATATATCGACAGATATTTATTTGCTCATTCGATACTTTAGGTATACCTGATATCAAAATATCATTTTATTCATATAAATATTGTGGTAGTTACTATCTGATATAGCCGTGATAAGTCCTGAACTACATCTCACTTGAAATTCAAGTGATTGTATTTACGAAATTATTATAATTGATAATAATTTTTCGCTCATGAATTTTGAAAAAGGAACATTGCAAAAATAAAAATCGTAGCAAACAAAACCAAACACAATATAACAAAGATTAATCAATACATGCTCAGCTATAGTCGCAGTGCGAGGCTCGGTCGCATAAAGCGTCGCGTTAAAAACGAAAATGGCCAAGGGAGTTGGGGGTTGCAAGAAAGAGCAAAAAGAAGAAAAGAAAGAAACGCTGCTGGCCACTCGAGCGAAGAGGGCAAACAGTACTATAAAGGATCCCTTTTTCGAGCGCGCGTCACGACTCAATGGACTCGCTTGGGCTCTCTGCTAGCCAAAGAGAAAATGCAAAAAAAAAATGAAAGAAAAAAACATACGTGCGGGCAAAAGAGGGAGGAAGAGAGAGGCTCGATAGCGACACATCAGATGGACAGAGATAAAATGAATTCGGAAGTGAGTGGCAAAAAAGGTGTTATCTCCTTTTACTTCACTGGATTATTCATTGATTCGTGTGTTAATTTTGCGATTTATGTGATATTCTACAGATAAAATATAAACGTTTCGTTTTTCCTTCAATCTCTGATAGCCTTTTTATTTATAATTCAAACAAAAGAAATAATTCGAAAATTATTACAAATTAAATAAACAAAAGAGTAAATAAAAGTTTACAAAGCCGGAAAACCCAAGTGAGTTTCCTGCATGTCGCAGAGAGAGCGGAGGAAGCTCTTTCTCTCTCTACTCCAGGCTCATGAATTTCGTCGGCGCGGTAGAGGGAAGGATTTGTGTCGCAGCGTGGCGGCGGCCGAAAGCTTCCGCTGCTTCGTATTCATAGTACCGCCTGTTCGTAGGACCCTCTCTCTCTCTCTCTCTCTCTCTCGTTCTATCGGATTCTTTGAGGGAGAGGTTGAGGCTTGTCGTCGATGAACTTCGACAATCGATGAATTTGCATCTTTTTCTCTCGCCGATTTCATTTTCCGTCGAATGGACGAAAAACAAAGAAGTTGCGCTCTGATTATGAATGGAAACAACAACGGTAAATGCGTATCTTGACTTGACAATGAGAGACAGTAGAGTAAAATAAAAAACCATAAGTACAGCGACACATGATTCGAGCGTCGGTCACGCGACGGCTCTTTACAATTCACTGCTGCATGCGTGTGCGTCACTCAAAACATCAGTCTAATTTCTGCAAGTCGCGTATATTCTCACGCATTCTTGGCAAGTAGCGCCTCTCACGTGCGCTACGTTATAAATTCATTGCACGACGATAATATTTTTCCAACTCACACTGACGCAATCAATTAACAAAAGTGATGATTTTAATATAAACTGCGGTGATTACTATTAATAGCAGAGTATGTTATAAATTTTCCAGTTGTTCTTACGCTGTCGCCACTGCGTTATTATTGATTTCTTGATTTCCTATGCGTTGTCCGTACGAAAATAAACGCACTTACATGCCTCATATAACGTACATCCGCGTAGCCGGTACAATTTACCTGTTTACATATTAAGTGAACTACTTACAGGTCAATCAATTTTGGCGCTAAAAATAGATCGGTCTACGTATGTTGTATAGCCGATATATATCGCCTGATGAGCCGCCATCGCGAAGTGGAGAAAATCGGCCATAGGAAAAATTGACGATATTTGCTCAAGATAGATGGAAATAAGGTTGATTCCATTTGTACACAAGGTATCTCTGAACGTTTGACTTTTGTATGAGCTATATACCTTGCATCAATTACGTGAGAATATATGAAATAAACGATACGACTTGTCATGGAAAAATGTATTCAGCAAGAGTAATAGCGAAGATTGTACGACTTGCATTCATCTATGAATGTGAACAATACATGTTGACAAATTATTAACCTTTCTTGGATATAATTAGGTTCTTTTATCTCTTTTCAAGATCAATAAACATTATAGCAAAGTAAACAACTGCGTGCAGATGGAAAAAAATGGTGTGTAGATAAAATCGAAGTGAAGGGGGATAAGTAAGAGTCCTGTCAAGGTCGCACTACTGCACGCATACGCACAGTAACAGAAAGAAAGATCGCGTGCGCGATTAGTTGCACTCGAGAATCCGTCAGTCTCTACGTCTTCTCTCGCGTATATACGTGAATTTAATGATGACGGCGCAGCGTTCTCCGTCGGCGACTCTACTCTGGCCAACAGTCACGATTTTGCAAATTAAACCAACTGTATACAAGCTACGGGCACACAACGTGTTTTCTTCATTGCAATTTTCCATCGCGAAAATTCATATGTTTTTGAAAAACACCTCGGTATAATTACACAAATTTACCGATACACTGTATTCGTATGTAACACGGCTTTGCAAGTGTAGTTTCAATTGCTTTGAAAGCACACGGTTATAATCGAGTACCGTAATTAAATAAAATTCGGTTATTTTCAACTCTTCCGCGTGAAATAACTTCAAAGTATGTAATGAAATGAAGTCTTAGAATTATTGAAGACTCTTTTTCTATATGTATCTTCAAACAGCTTCTTTAATAAGCTACGTGCAATTATCGCGTGCGTATCCTGTAATTAGTTTGTAGATACTTGAAGTGTCCAGCCGATATGCATGCATAGACACACAGGTTTCTACGCGTCATAAATACAAGAGAGGGAGAGAGAGAGAACGCGAGTGCCACTTCCCTTCGGACATTAAATGGCTATAATATTCACGTGTCACTTTTAATACCAGTCGCGCGCGAGAATATGGTCGCTGCTACATTCTATCCCGTGATTGAATCGACCTTTATTTTCAAGCAACAAGCCGCACGTTCTACAATTTTTTGTACAATGTTCGAAACGATCAAGTAGTCGACAGCTTGTAAAATCAGGTGACATGTTTGTTAGTCAGTTGTGAAGTGATACTTGAGCATTAAAATCCTCATCACTTTTGAGTATGAGTGAATCAGTATCTTTTTAAAAACCAACTAATTATGTTCGCCCATGAAATATATTCGTGTCACCAGTGGGTACAAATCACTCAATTTGCTTGGCATGAAAAAAAGCGAAATTGGAGTTATTATTGCGAGAGTCGAAAATGGGCTCGACAATGGCGAAAAAAAATGATAGATTCGTTGAGTTAGAAAACGTGATCTCATTAAATGAAGAAAGCGCGTCTCTAAAGAATACAAAGGCATGCTAAAAAGAGGCATCGAGATGATCATCGCGCCGATTTTTCTACGAATTTCCGAAGCTTTGTATACGAGTCGAGGTAGCAGCAAGTGTTGGAGCGAGAAAGAGGTCTTTGAAAAGAGTCGCACAGAAGAGATCCGCTCATGGCGTCAAGGCCATAAACCGTGAAACACGCGATCTTGCAGAAGACCCAGGTATAACGCGAGCGTGTATTTGTGCAAATACCAAGAGGATCACAACAAGGTCTCATTGAGTCCGAACAACCAATTCCAGTTTCTAGCGAATGAGCGAATTGCTTCGGTTTTATTCTCAACTGACAAGACGATTGAGGCAGGAACCGCAAAAGCTTTCTTTACTAGTTCGCGAGTTTCTGGGTTGATAACTGACCAATTGAAAGAGTTGTTTGAAGAATAGATTTATCAACGGAAATAACGTTGTACGGATAGCAAGGTACTGAAAAATATTCGTAATTTGGGGCATATTTTCAGAGAGAACGGTAGCCATTCATATTCTAAACATATAATCCATTAAATAATTAACTGCCGTAGATGACGTATTTTATCACCGCACAGCAATAAGTGCTTTTACCGTATTTGATAGGTCAATGGAATAATTGTAAACCAGTTTATAAACTGCAACTATAACTATTATTAACTATATGCAGATTGTTTTCTGCATGTTAATGTCTAAATGTAATTACGATTTTTGAATATGATGAAATATGTCTTTATATGATTACAGCCAATATCATAGAAAGACTTGATGCATTTTTTTGCAAAACGTAAATTACGTGTGTTCGAAAAATATTGTTATCTTCGATACGAAAAATTTCACTAATTATCATTAAATAATATTATCGACTACAGTGAAATAAAAAATCATTTGGTCTTACCTATAAATACATATATAATGCGAATTATTTCAATTTGAACAACAGAAGTTATCGCTATGTGTAAACACATGATTCTCCACAATACTAATTCAGTTGTTCTAGAGGTATTACTTTGGACGAACGTTTGTAGGTAAACATAAATTTGCATTCATATCAATAGTTTATCAAACGAATAATAGTACAATCTTGAAGTTCGTTATTCTTTCTGAGGGCGCAGTGAAAAGTAATGATCAGTAAAAAACATTTTTCACAGTGAACACGCACAACTACGAGAAAAGTGCGAGTGGTTTCTTTTCCATAGTGAAATACGTTGAGCAACGTAGTATATTGTGTAGGTAATGACCACTCAAAATATTTATACTAGCCAAATATTAACTGTGATTTCATAATCACATTTTTTAATATATTGTTTCGGTAGTAGAATATACATTTGAAATTATTTATTTGGAAAAACATAAATGTTGATGTTATTGAAATCTTAGTGCCAAGGAGCATATCTATAATTTATTAGTTTCCGTAATTTAATTATATTATATAACAATATTATATCTGACCTCCATTATTTGAATATTTATTTCAATTCAATAACTAAAATGACATTATTCCTTTTACAAACATTGAAATTTTTGCTAGTTGTTCACTCTATATACGTCTCGCATAATGTCACGCAAAGCATACATTTATTTTCATTAAAATTAATAGATTGTCTATTATTAATTGATAAAGTAATAAAGATAAATGTTTCACTCTTTTAACTTATTAATAAAAAATAACGTTATAGATGATCAATCGTAACCGTTTTGCAGAAGAAATTACATATCGAGTATAGCTTGTGTTTTTAAATAAAAAATAAACCTGAATTTCATAAATTTCCTGTATGGTTTAAATCGATCATCTGATCTGCAAATTAAATTACAGATAGGTATGGCGTCATAATCATTAAGCAACTTTAGGACACAGTCAGTAGTATTGATGAATGATAGAAAGATAATTTATGATACAAGTGGAGCTAATATAAGTTACACGTACAATATGAATCAAGTACAGCAATTTTCCAATCATATTTCTCAGCCAAATAAGCAAATCTATTGGGTCCCAAGTTATAATTGTTACTATGAATTCGTCTCGCCGGTAATTGCGAATACATCACCAACATCATCTCCTTTATTGCATCAACCATTGAATAACTACAATAATTTACATCCAACGTTGCCGGTTTCTCAACTATCAAATATAGTACCCACGTCCAGCTTTTACAATATTTATCCAAATTTATCTTGCAGACCCTTATCAATTTTTTCACATATTGTTATACCATGTAAAGCGACACATGTTGAGTATATTACTGAGAGGAAGAAGATTCGAGGTGATTCCAACAATACACCAAATACTCCATTGACTCTTAAAACTCATCCTGATGCTCAGAATCCGCTACCCAATCCAAAAGTTAAGCATAGACGTAAAAACAAAACACGAAAACCAGACAACAAGCACATTGTTGAAGTGACAAATTCAGAAATGACCATGCAAGGAGAATGCCAATCCCTCATCTGCATCACCAAAGATCCTGGAATCTCTGACAACAAAACCAGCGCCAAACAAAATTCCAGCAAGCAGCAGCACATTTGTCATGTAGATGGGTGTAATAAAGTCTACAACAAAACTTTAGATTTAAAGAGACATTTGCAGTGGCACTACAAGGACGAGAAGAATATCTTTTGCACATACTGTAAGAAGAGTTTTCCACACAAGGATTATTTTAGCGATCACTTTAATATGCACAGAAATACTAATGAAAGGAAATTTAAGATTACAAGAGACAAGCATCAAATCTTGGATAAGAATCCAGTAAAATCCGAATTGGGAAATGTTTATGAGATAAATGAGCCTTGGGAGCCGGTAGCGACATCGACTCCTAAGAATGAATTTCCTTCAAATATTTTAAACAAACAATTTCAAAACGTACTGCCTCAATCACCACCTGAATGTACGATGATACATGCATCAAAAGATCATATTAAGTCTTATGCTGAGATATTAAAGTCGGAAAAGCAAACTAGCGAGATAGAGGTAATCCAAAAGAAGCCAAAAAGGAGACCAAAAAAGCAAAAATCTCGAGGGCAAACAGAATTACAACCACCTTGCTAATTTCATATTTAATATTGGCACCCTTGAGATCATCTCATAATAATAAGAAACTTTTTATTTTTTGTTGGTTTTTACACGATAAGAAAATTGTGAAAAATTATCAAATTAACAACCACATGAAAATGTATATAAGATCTTTTACGAAGAATGTGAAATGTTGGACCTTTACTCTAATTTCCATGTAAAAAAATGTCTAGTACTGTATGAAAGATTATGTACAAAAACGATTTTATACGATATTCATCAACGACCAAAATTACTTCATTAAATTAGCTATCCTAAAAAGTGCATCATCGTCAATCACGTTGATATCGGTGATTTATTTGTAATAAATATGACGAACTATTATTGATAAAAATAATAAGAATATAGTATTATAAGTTTTTATTTATCGAAATTATACTTGTATAATGCATGATTTCACATTTTTAGTAAAATATGTAATCAACTATTGTCATAAAAATTATATCTATTTTATGTATTAACACGAAGTTTTTAGACAACATTTTGTAAAACACGTGGCTATTCAGTATAAAATTATACATTCGTCTTTCAAAGAACTATTTTTATCCATGCAACAAACGCTAACTTATTCTTACATAGATAGCTTAAATTACAAAAATTACGAACTTTGCTTTCTAAATATTACAACGTAGATTATTGCCGTACGTTGCATTATATTCATTACGATAGTATAAGTAAATATAAAAAGTTCATGTGTTTTTAGAAAAAAGATTATGTACTGTAAAAATAACAATATTTTTTTCATTAAATTTTTATTTAAATCTGTCTAACACTCTATATATAATTACATTTAATAAAAATTTGAATGCTTACAATCCTTAAATGACTACATTTTCTGAAACTAATAATTTTACGTAATGACAATTTTTTATACTTTATAATAAATTATCATCTTCATGATAAACAATTAAAACCTATATATTTCTCTTTTATTACTCAGTTTTTACTGTAATTTCACTTCTTTTTCTAAATATTGAAAAATAAGTCAACTCAAAAATAGCAATATAGAATGAATTGAAAAGCATTGCCATTGAATTACGTTGAATATAATTATATTAAATTACTGATCCATAATCTGTTTTATAAAAGTTGTAATAGAGAAAATTATTTTTGTTTAACAGCTGCGCGAGACTTTTCTTTACTAATAATTTATGTTGGAAAAGGGAGGCACTAATAGATTCGTGCGTCGCTGGAGACTTATTTTTGCATTTTCCCGCTTTCGAACTGTGCAACTTCGTAACTACGAACTGTAGTTGAGTTTGGTTGTAGTGCGTATAGCCGCTAAGCGAATATGGCTAATGTTACTAGCGTCTAGTAACTTTCATTTAAGTTGGTGTAATCGAAATTTAGCAATATGTAATTATATTAATTTATTTATGTAATAAATAAAATCGACGTAATAGAAAACCATGCTTGGCTCCTTTATTTAAAACTTCTGGTTAAAATTTTTGTTAAATTTAGAAAACAATCTCCATGCCTGATCACAACAAAATTTCTCAAAGTGAAAAACTGAGATCTTTATGTGGAGCTGCTGTTTCTAATTTCGATACTAGTGCGAGAAAGTGTTTCGAGCCTCGTGTGGACGCTTGAGCCCGAGCGAAGTGAGGGAGAAAAGGCCACACTAGGTTAAAAAGTATCAGAATGTACTGTTTGAGGGTTATAAGCATAAAAATTTTGATTAATTATCGCTGTATATAGAGTGTTAGACAGATTTGAATAAAAATTTAATTAAAAGTTACCAGACGCTAGTAATTTACATAAAAGCCTTTGCCATGATGACTCCGTACTTATACACTCCTACTGTACGTACAGACGCTCTATAATGGTCCTCTGGCCGTCAGAGAGGGGAGCATAGCACTAAAGAGAGTCGAGCCTGATTCGAGCGAAAGTAGAACTAGGGTCAAGCAGAATTCGAGCCTCAAAGTTTGGGAGGCCAATGGTCGCCGCAGCTACGAGAGCTGAGTAGTGACGTGAACTACTGCGACGCGAAAAACAAACGGACGTAGCTCACTGCCTGTCACCGTACGTCGAATACGACACTTCGCCTTTGTCTGCTACCCTCATCGAGATTCCATCGTCGCCATTCCAAGCATGGTAGGTAGCTTCCTTAACTGTCTGCCTGACTGTCTGTCTCCCTCTCCCTCTCTCTCTCTATTTCTCTCGGTTTAAGATGTTGGGCCAAGATCCTGTACCTGCTGCGAATGAGTATTAGTGTCCTACATGGGCATTACGACATTCGGCGAGTTGGGTGTTGACCGAAAATGATGTCGCAATTAATGGCATCATTAGTGCTGTTCACCCACGCGATGCCTTTGTCCAAGCCGACGGTTTCTGTGAAGTATACTGCCATTTTGAGAAGTATAGTCTCGTACAACGATTATATCGTGACTGAGAAGATGTAATGAAATTGCACCTGAGTAGGTTGCTAACAAGTTTCCTAACAAGTGTTAAGAATAAACGAATGTGTTATGTCAACTTATTTTCCATTATACATTTGCATATGTTCCTGATTTGCTCTCATACGTTTGAGTGATGCATTTGCCTAATTTATCATTTAGGGGTGGGAGCATTTGAGCCACCTTTTTCTCACCTTCATATTTAGCCCGAAAAAATCTCGAACTGCTATTTAGTAAAAATGACTTCTCCGATAAAAAATTCATTCAGAAAATTTTATCACAAAGTTAATTTCTGTATACAAATTAAAAGTACATATCTGGATGTATTTTATTCGTTGGTGGGGTCGCAAAACTAAAGTGAATTATTATCAGTCACGTCCATCGATATGGTTACAATCTATTTCATTTTCAAAAGTGTGTGTTGTTGTTTGATGTACTCATCTAAAGTAGAAATTCATTAATGTTCGAAGTTTAGTTTGAAACGGACATTTAATTTGCACGTCTGCATGCATGGAAATGAGCAGTTTGTTATTCAGTTTGTTCTGTGACCATCAAAGCAAAAATATCATTGTTCATGGTGGTAATCGGTTTTTAGAAAACATGAGTGTAAAAAAAGTTTAATTATTTCTTGAAGGTTTTATTTCATCATGTACTAGCAATGTATGCATGTAGTACATCAGGAGTGTAATCATTACTCAAAATATTTACATGCACCGTATTATCTTATGATATGATTCCTATAGCTTTTATGTTTTGAGACCACTTTCAATTTATTATTATTTTTTCAATTAGAAAAATTATTATTATAATAATAACATTAAAGCAAAAGTATGCGCGAAAAAATATTTTTATATTTTGATTTTAAGGTAATATTTTTTTAATTAGTTTTTAAAAACTGATTCTTAATTATAAATAAGAAATTCTTGATAATTATTAAGAATCTTAACACATGTTCCAATATTCCATGAAACATTAAAATTTTGTTGTAAAGTATGAAAGATGAATATTTAATTTAACTACATGTGCTATTTATTAAAAAAAAATATGATGATAAATAAGTCCTGAAGTAAACTTTTTCTTTTTTTTTCATTTTTAAACCCGATTTTTTTTTTTGGAAACAGGGAGAGGATCGGGCTAAAAATATTTTTGCATGCTAATCAAGTATCCCTTAATCGAGTACAATGATAAAATTGCAAGTAATTTGTTTTTGTATTCAGCTCCACTTCAGGAATATCGTGAATAACAAATATACTATGCACAAATGCTTCTACATCTAATCATAGCTTATTTTTTTTTTGTTAAAATTTTATTGTAAAGTATGAAAGATAACTATTTAATTTAACTACATACAATTACTTCGAACAGAGCGTTAGAACGAAAGCTGAAATTCAAAAATAAAACTTGTACAAAAAATTGTAATAGTTAAATTACTTACTAAAGACTCCACTTTGCTATAACTGACTAACTAACGATTACACTTTTTCTTTTAATTGCAGATCGACATCATATCATAATCATATAGCATCTCATAGATAATAACAATGTCATTGCCCAATCACAATTATGATTCTAGTAATTGTCTCAAGCACCTTGAGCAATTGGTCATCCGAACTACTCAGTTAGAACATTCTATCCACTTATCGGACTCATTCAATGGCTACAGCTGCGTTCCGAACAATACTGTTGTACTCTTTGGCGAAAACAGACAAAGAAATAGTACTTTACTACCTGACTTGTCTGACGGTTCCAATGTTATGGGTCAAGTCTCGGAGGTTAATCCACTACCAATAACATCGACAGGAATCAATACTCAGTTTTCTGTTCATAGCACCTCATCTATTTACTCAATCCAACATGTCACACAAAATCAAATACCACTACAGCCATGGGAAAGAAATGTATGTTCAATGTCTACCAATAGCCAGAATCGTCAGACCCGTCTGACAGATATGAAAATATTGATACTTTAATGTTTTTTCAGGTTTTCATTCGCTACAATTAATTCTCTAACGATTATATTTTTACAATTACAGATTGACTTAATATCGTCTTCATCGTATAACATGTATGATGCAATAGAAAGATCGGGGACCAATAACTATTGTGATTCGAGTAATTGCCTTGATGAACTTGAGCAACTAGTCAATCGGACTACTCAATCGTCACAGCCATCAGAAACGGGTCTATGTTCAATGTTTACCAAAAGCGAAAATCGCCAAACTAATAAAAAAAATAAGACCTCCAGTCGGCAGACTGTTGCACGTGTAGGAAACATTTTTAATGAAGCCGAGAATCAGGTACCGAATCCCATGTGGCCATACGGCAAGCCTACACTAAAAAAACGGATACCCTGTGAATGTCCCAATTGCAACGTCCAAGGTGGTAACAAAATCTATAGCATCACCGGTAAGCTACAGCACAAATGTCACATTCCTGGATGCGGAAGAACCTTCGATTGGCCATCAATTTTACGAATTCATCTCAAAACGCACAGCCCAGCCAAGCCGTTCTTATGCACTTGGCATACGTGTAACAGCAAATTCAAACGAAAAGGAGAACTGGTAAGGCACATAAATAGTCATATTCAATTCAGGAAGTTCGTTTGCCCGCACTGCGACTCAAAATTCACACGTAGTTGCCATCTTACCAAACATATTAATAATACACACGGGATCGAAAACAACGAAATCTAACTCGGAATAAGTATTACAAATAATTTACTTGTAAATTTATTTGGTTGGTTAAGGAATGGATTTTTTTTAATAAACAGTATTAGAATAAATTTCTGTGTAATACACTTATAAGATTAGAATTATTATCGAAATGAACATTGTTTTATAGTCGTAGTATTTGACATTGATTATAAACGTCAATATGACAAATCATATGATTGATGATTTTTATGCCAAATATGGCGAGGTGTTAAATTAAATTTTAATGTTTTCTATTAGTATCTACTTTTATTAATCGAATATATTATTATTATTTAACGTGGATATGTGTGTATATAAAATTTATTCTTATTAATGAACTAAGGTCAATAAATAAAACAAGTATTTTATTTAACTTTGAGTATATCGTATAGTAATTTTGTCCTTTTCAGAAATGAAGTAAATAGTGAGCTTACATTTGTGAATTTACGAATCCATCTTCCAAGAAGAAGTTACCGTCATTGTGATAAGAATCAGCCTAATGACATAATCCATTATTTTATTTGTCCTAGAATTATAACAATTATTTACTTAACTTGATGTATGTTCAAGGATTACGTGCTGTAATTTATCAGTCTTACTAAATATATCGTCAGTGTGCGCAGAGTTCATATCTTAATAATATAGCCCGAACCGGAATGAATAATGTTAAAGGATATATTCAATCCAAGTAACCAATTGTGTTGTAAACATGACTTTTCTTTTGTTAGACATACAATTAACATATAAAAAATAATGACAGACTTTATTTTTACTCTAAATTGTATCTTATTTGGATTCACTATTCATTCAAAATCTACTGTTAACTACGATTAAGTTGTAAAGTTCTTCACGTCAAGTATTAGCACATAATTTATTTCTAACCGATCATCTACTGCGATAATTTACATATAAAAAGAACACTTTCTAAAGTAACTTTTAGCGCATTAAATCAACGAAGAGCACCTAATATGTGCACATAACTGTTGTATTTTTTTCCCACGGCGTTGAAATACATTTTAGTTCTTTTACAATTTTTCTACTCGGACCTACATACAAAATTGTGCATTGTGTGCTTGACGTCACTTGAGCGTTGTGCGAGGCGCTTGAAAGAAAAAAAAATATTTTTTCGTTGAAAATGGCTCGACTTATATTCTCAACGTTTTGCCTCGCAGGCGGCGGCCGATTATCCTGGAATGAGGGGATACCGGTATCGCGCCCTCTTCGCGTCGATCGCCTTTTTCCATGCGCACGCTCGCAAAATCACCGGCGCCGCCGCCGCCGATGCTCCAAGCATGTATACACACCCACGTAACTATGCGCGCCGCCGTTGCTGTCGTTGCGATAATGTATATTTAGCGTCTCATAAATTGCGATGCGCCTCGCGTTTATAGGCGGCGGTGTGTGCTGCACTTGTGCTCTCTCTCTCTCTCTCTCTCTCTCTCTCTCTCTCTCTCTCTCTCTCTCTCTCTCTCTTACGTTCTCTCTCTTCTGAGCTAAAAATAAATTCAATTTTCCAATAGTACGCGAACGTGCCATCGATAAAGGCATTGTTATCTGTGAATATAATTTTGTGTGTCAGAAAAATTATTTTTTAAAGGATGTTTTTGTTTTTGATCAGTCTTCAACAAGTTTTGAAAGGAGTTGAATATTTATTTAAACCTAAAAATTGAATAAATCTTGAATATTTATACGACAGTTTAGAATCTTAAATATATTATGTTGTTCACAATGACGATTCCAGACTTAAATTTTTGGTCACATTAATTATCAATTTGTACCCAAAAAAATTATTTGAAAATACGTTTCTAGATGTTCCGACGTCAAGTAAACCAGTGATACGAGTTCCATTCATAAAAAAAATATTCACTCGTTCTCTCTGTAAATGAATCATTAAGCCAAGTAAGCAAAAACCGATGTTTGATCTTGACCATTCCAAATCCTTTGAGATAGAATGAAATAATACATACAGCGAAGCCGCCGCGAATAAGAAAAAAAGAAGGATTAAAATTTATTCACTCATCGCCGTAAGTCGATCGGCTTATGCAAATTACGTTTAGCGGCACAGTTTTATATAGGCGCCGAATGACATGCATTAAGAGAAAAAAAAACATAAAAAAACGTACGTTTGGCGTAATTCGATTAGCATATTTTCGTACGCACTCTCCTCGCGCGGTAGAACATAAATAATACGGCTTAATTAACGCCGCGAATTGGAAGCGAGTAGCAAATATGAAGGCTTTTTGATATTTCCTGATATGTCAAAACCGCGCACGACGCGGTCAGATTCGCGTCTATGTCCAATCTTTGCGCCGCTTCCAAGAATTTTTTGGTATGCAACACGTGCTGCCGATTTAATTCGTTTTGAATCATTGTGATTGATGGTGGGTTATGGTTCTTGGAAAATCTATAATACGTTCGATGTTGCTCGACGTTTTGAGGATTTTCGGGACTCCAATCAATGGGTCCTTGTGTTGATTTTTTTCCATTGATGTTGGAGAAAAAAGTTCAACGCGCGTCGATTGCATAATTTCAACGATGAATCTAAAATTATAATATGTGATATTTTACCGTACCAAAATACTATCGTCTTTGTCATCATTTTTCGTTTTCTGGACCAAACAATGTACAGCGATTCGTTTCAATACCGCAAGTCACCATCGCCACTACCTAATCGTTTGTTTTAGTAACATCTCGATTTTTAAAAAAATTCGTTGCCATAAATCCCTCACACCAATTTCTCTCGGAGCAGTAGTTATCGTTTTATCCGTGGCTTCGTGCGCATCTTGCGATCGTCGGTAGCATTTCCCCAAGATTTCCGAGAAACCCGACCGGAAAGAACAATAAAAATAATCACTTTCAGCAAAAGCGAATCCGGCCGATTTGCTTCTCTCTCTCTCTTTCTCGTGCCTAATGACATCTAATTGCTTTCCAGCGCCCCACCATCGTGTCTCCGCTTAATTTCCAGCTATATGCCGTGACTTCTCTTTCTTTCTCTCTTCACTGCGTAGTCTTGCCACCTCCAATTAATTCCTAACTTTTAAAAGTCACGGGACTTTCATTTTGTCCTGCGATTAATGGCGCCTACGTGAGTCTCCGTCGAATTGATTAAGAGAACTAATGCTGCCTAGGTAACTGTTATTATCTTACCCAAACGCTTCATACTTTCTCGCTGTTTTCGATTGATACGTTTTGTGGATACCAAATAACTCAATATATCTTAATGTATTTTTGTTTATGTGCAAAAAATTTTCTTTCCATCTATCGTACCATGTAGGCGTTTATTATATTTTATATTAGTAGAGAGAACGAAATGAGCTTGGGTTTGAGTATGTAAGAGGCCGTATTATAAAAGGGAAGAGGGCAATCTTTGGCCATCTGTCGATGCCAGACTTGACGTCGGTTTCGATTGCCGAACGTTCTTTTTTTTCATAATCTTTTATAGACAACAGCTGACCTATATCAATATTTTCAAAATCAGATTTTTTTACTCGAGCTATATTTCATTTATAAATACATAAAAATTTCATTTTCGCGCTCTACTCACACATGCATGCTCAAAAATCGTATATATCGTGCTTCAAAATAATTTCTCTAGCCTTCCGTGTTTCTCTCTCTCACTCTCCGGTTTTCTGTCATATGCCACACATATACAAATCAATGACGTTATCTATCATTATAATTACTCGAAGCCCACACCTGGGTAGCTTTCTTCTATTAACAAAAAAAAAAAAAAAAAAAAAAATAAATAAAAGATCGCGGATACAAGCGCGATAATGGTCGTGGCACGCACGCGCGCTTTCCGTTTTCATTTTTCCGAGATCGCACTCCGCGGCATATTCCCTTCTATTTTTTTATATACAACCAGATTTTTATCTGTCTGCCTGCGCGCGCGCTTGTTGATTTATGTTCTTGCTTCCGATGTGGATTATTAATCTTACTGTTTTGGGTCAGTTTTATAATTAATGAGAAATCTAGTCATTGTTTACGTGCTGCTACTGATCGTAGACCTGTTATTAATAAAAACGTTTGATCATCAATGTGTAATTTTATCTAATGGATTATCGTACGACGATGATACTCTGCTCACGCGACAATACCGACAAGAAGAAGAAGACTTATCAGTATTCTCTCTGAACAAAAGAACAGGCATAAAATGCAGCTTCAGCCTCGATCTAAACAGAAGCAAAAGCGTGCAGCTGAACAAGAAATTGGCAAGTCGGTCGGCAAGATGGACAGGAGGTAGCGTGATCTAGTAGATAGCTTCCGAGTGGATTTTTCCTCTATCACACCAGCAGGCAAATAGCTGTTGCAACGGCGGCAGGATTGTTGCGCGCGCGGATGACTCGAGAAGTCGAGAGAGTGCTCGGTCGTGTCTCGAAGCCAGCAATTATCGCGTACACGCGGCTAGCGCGCGCGCGCTAATTATCTCCCCTTGATATCCAACGGTTCGCGCTTTTTCTTTTCTTTCTTCTTATGCATGCTGCCGTGCGGTTTCTTATTCCCGCTTCTTCTTCGTTGATCCCGTCTTTTTGTCTTCTTATTCTTTCGGTCCAATAGAGATTGGATGTAATTTAGGTTTTCATGTTTCAAAAGAGGGCGTTAAGATGGAAATTTTTCTTTGTCTATTCCGGTTACTACTTAATTAAGCTTGAAGAAACATGGCCCGTAAGCGATTGTTGAATGCTCGACACTTCCAGATAATTATTGCTGTATCGACAACTGAAACGTTTTTTCCGAAATATAAGGTCACCGCGAAGAAGAAAAAACACGAACGAAAACGTGTTGATTCCCTAGGGGCCCCGAAATTCAATCATGTATATACACGCGTGAATACGTACACTACATCGTTGTCGAGGGTCTTATGCGGAGCGCTGGTTTGGTTTCGCAGGTAATTGCTAGGCCGACGGGCTCGATAATGAGGGCTGGCTTCGAGGAAACGATTACTCGCCCGGCCCGAAACTTCGGAGCTTTCTCATATCTCTAATTTTTGTGCGTGAGCAGCGAAAAACAACGCATAGCTCGTGCCCTATTCTCTCTCTATTGTCTTGTATAGTAACCCTTGAAAAATCTTACGCAAGACGTTGGTTCGTCGTCGCGTGACGCAATACCATTTCGTGCCAATAAAAATATATCTCTCTTCTCAGAGCTGGAAGGTGAATAAAATCTCGACACTTTGCGCAACGTTCAATTTTTTTCTCTCTCATATCACGGATAATTTGTATAACTTTCACCTTGTTGAGGAAAAAAATACACACTCACACGGGCGATTCATTCACGTGTAAAATTGCTCTTTGCAACCGCATGATACCGCAACGATCGTTAAAATCAATCTGTTTTTTTTCTGGAA